AACCTTTCCATCTGTCGTCAGGGACTTTCCACTCTACAGTGCCCCCGCCTCCACCTCCCGCCAGCACCCCGCCCCCCGCAGCTAGCCATTCCCTGCCATGTGCTCATTCTAGAGGAAGAGGAGCAGGCAGTGTGCAGGGGAATTCTAACAATCATCTTACTTAACCCTTGCAATCATGATCCTATGGGTAGCTGCTATCTCCCTTTTACAGATGACATAAACTCAAAGAGATTGAGCGGCAGAAGACCAAGTATTTATAGCGTGATTGGTCAAACAGCTCACTGACCCCAAGTCTGACTCCAGCCTATACTCTGGATCCACTAAGTCCATCAGCGTTATTCATTTAGAGCCCTGTAAATTAGAATTTCTATTAGTGTGACCTGATCTGGAAGAAAAAGGTTTACTAAGCTAATTACTAACGTAAAAATGATTACATCAACAGGGTCAGGCCTGGTTAGTACTTGGATAGGAGACCACCTAGGAAGACTGGGTGCTGTAGGCGTTAAAAAAAAAAAAAGCTTAAATCAAAATAATTATTAGACTTGGTATATTAACAAAAATGTTATCAAAATTTTATCTTATCGGTTTACTAAAGCAAGACTCTCTAGAAGTCTGTTCCTTAAAGTTTTATTGTGTTCTCAGTTTTTGAAATAAAAAGCAATTTTATTTCTTCTATTTTAAGATTTCCCCTCCACTTTATGGTCATTCTCCAGAATGACTTGACAATCACTACTAGTTCAGAGTAGTGAGAATGGCTAGAAATCTGGACCTTTTTCTGACACTGTGACCTTGGGCAAGATGTTTAACCTAAGCCTCAGTTTTTCATCTGTGAAATGGGAAGAACAGTAATAGTACCTACTTCATAGCTACTGTGAGGATTAAATAATCTACCTAAAGCCATTAGCATAATTTTTGGCTCATAGGTGCTCAGTAAACCATAGCAACTATTGTTATTTTCTCATTCCGGGCTGAGATGCTGTGGGAGCATCAACATAATCTCAACAGGCTGAAGTTGAACTTCACTCTCGCCATAGTGTGCCCCTTGTTCTCCAAAGGGCTTAGAGTTGTTCCTGATTCTTGCCCTGTCTCATCTAGACATTTACAACCCCTACCTCTGGACTAGACCATCCATCTCTTGAGAATTCAGGCCGCTATTGAGACCAGGAGAGGCAGCATGAGAGAGTGTGTGAATGACTGGGAGGAGAATTCCCATGGACACTGGGGATATGTGAAGGCCCCAGGGAGTTGCCATGACCCTGGGTCTCTTCCTAGAGCAGTGAGTGCTGGAGAGAGAGAAGAGATACATCAGCTGCTGGACAAATTTTCAGTGTTGAGAAGCCCTTTAGGACAGACACACAGGGCTGAGAGGGTAATCTAGGGAAGGAACAAAGGCCTGGGATGGATTGGGACTCTCCAGACTGCATTTCAATCTTACTCCATTTGCTTAGCAAGAAGGTACTTTTTCTTCTAATCGGGGGTGCCGTGACGGATCAGCAGTCCTAAACTTAAGAATCAATCCGGAGAGGGATTCAGCTTGGCCAGCCTCCTGGAAAGCAGGTTAGGAGTACAAACTTTGGAGCCAGCCAGACCTGGGTTCAGATCGCAACACTGCCATTTGCTAGCTGTGTACCCTTGGATAAGTCATTCAGTTCAGTTGCTTTGTTTATGAACAAACTGCTACTTATCGTATAGAATAGTTGAGAAGTTTGAAATGTAAATACCTAGAACAGAACAGGCACTAATGCTAGTCATTGTCATCTCTAACCAGAGTGAGCATTAACTCCTAGGTGGTATAAAGAACTCTGGAAAAGTGAGGGAAGTTCCAGTTGTTTCAAACTCCTGAACAAATCTCCTTGGTCCGGAAAGCATCCTTGAAGGGTTCAAGACCAAGACCAGAGAGCCTGCATCCCACAATCGGAACATTTATATCCCACATTGTTCATAAGAGTATTTGAGGCAGTATAACTCAAGGGAGAACCCAGCATCTCTACCCATCCTTGCCTCTATCTTCCCATCTCAGTTCTCCATATCAAACCCTCTCTGATCCGGCCACTTATGTCCATGGGAATTAAAAAATTAAATCTAGTTAAGGGCTCGCTTCTATTTGGTCTTTCATTACTCTCCAGTGCTTGGAGCCCAGCCTGAAACTCAGCAGATGGGGGGTTAAGACTGATGCCCTGTCCTATCTCCTCCCCTCTCCATTCCTGACTTCAAAGTCACCATAAAGCACAACACCGCTTCCCTGACCCCATAGTGGCAGCTCCATCATCAGCTCTCGGCCGGTTCAAAACAGCAGACGCTGAGCCCTGGCCCAGCTGCTGACAGTCCACTTTCTAGCCATCTCCTGGGGTAAGCACCAGCATCTAAGGACCTGTGGGGCCAATAGTCCTTGCTCCTCCAGGAGAGGAAAGGCAACTAGAAATAGAAGTTGCCTTAAGCAAGGAGTTGACTCATGGTTGGACTTAGAAAGCAGCCTATAGGCAGAACCCCTGGTTTAATGACCAGGACTATGGGGCTCTAATTTGTGATCAGAGCAGATATTTACAGGAGTTAGTAAGTAGAACAATAGGGATCACCAGCCCAGGGATGGAGGCAGGGGGTTGGTATTTGCTAAGTCACTGGCAAGAGATGGACCTGGAAATGGGAGCAACTCAGAGGCCATAATTTCTTTCGTTAGTATTAATATCCAAAATCTACGCCAAAGTATACACAAATCCACATCCAGTTATTTTAATGGCTGGCTCTGGTGATTGGATAACCATGCTGTAACACTGTCTGAGACAGCTCTGGCTCCCTGGAGTCAGATCCCACTCTGTAGCTCCCTTAGGAGCTACAAATGCAAGGCCAGTTGTGGAGGGAGGATGGGGGTGGTCCCAAGATTCAAGGCCTATTCCTCCCACCCTCATCTGTGGGTTTTTCCAGCTGCTTTTCTTGGCCCAAGGTTGACATTCATAGGGATACAGATGAGGGACGGGGAAACAGAAAACAGTGAAGTCAGAACGAGCTGGGGAAGAGGCAGATGTTAGGAAGAGATGGAGAAATGGGGCTAGTGGTCCAGCCCTCGGAGACAGGACACCTGGACATCTTTCCAAGTAGTGGTTGTGTTGGGCATGGTAAGAGATGGTCTTAGCAGGCGACTTCCTCCTTTCCACCCCAAACTAAGGAGCTTGGAGTTCTGATCGTGGGGTGCCTCCTTCTAGGGCTGGGCTGAAGCCTAGGAGGCCCAGCTGCTAACATCGGGGGCAGGACCATGTCTGCTAACAAAGGCTGGTGGGTGCCGCCCAAAGGTGAAGACAGTGTATCCGAGAAGTTCCTGAGGAAGACCAGAGAGTCTCCACTGGTGCCTATAGGTGAGTGGGAAAGGAAGGACTGGGGGATGGGGCGGGAGCTTTCTCTTAGAGAACATGTCTCCCAGTCCTTCCAAAGAATGAAGCAGAGAACACAAGTGGTCCTACCCACTGAACAACCAACATCTAGAAGAGGAGTGAAGCGACCAACAGCAGAGGTGCCAAGGGATAAAGGGACACTCCCGTACAATGAAATGATCCGGATGGGTAAAGGTGGTGAACAACTGAGTGCATAGGGTATGGAGAAACCAGGGGCATCAACACCGTCAGGAGGAAAGGAGCAGTTTGGGTTTCCCCAGGGCTTCTTTCCTCAAGGCCCTGGGAAAGGAGGAAGACAACTGTACCAGCATGTGGGAGCCAGCAACCTTTGAAGAGCCCAGAGCAGAGCTGATGGGGTTGGGGGGAGTCATGATGATGCGCTATTTGTGAGGAAGGGGAGTCATTGGAGGGAGGCAGTCACTTTGAAAACACCGTTTAGAGCAGTAGTCCCCAACCTTTTTGGCACCAGGGACCACTGCTCTTACGACTCTAATGTCTGATGATCTGAGATGGAGCTGGGATGGTGATGCTAGCGTCAGGGAGCAGCTGCAAATACAGATGAAGCTTCTCTAGCTCGCCCGCTGCTCACCTCCTGCTGTGTGGCCCAGTTCCTAACAGGCCGTGGTACCAGTCTGCAGCCTGGAGTTTGGGGACCCGATTTAGAGGAAATAACTCACTAAACCAATGATACCTACTCCCCCACCCCCATGAAGCACCAAAGCAGCTGTTTATCCCGATGCCTAACCTGCCTAGGTGAGGTATCTCTCATCGGGAGAAGAATGTGCTTAGTGGATGAGGCCCAGGGATCATGTTCTCTAACTACAGGCTTAGGAGGCTGCCTGGTGGTGGCAGCATACAGGATTTACCGGCTGAAGTCTCGTGGTTCCACCAAGATGTCTATTCACCTGATTCATACCCGAGTGGCAGCGCAGGCCTGTGCTGTGGGTGCAATCATGCTAGGTGAGTAGCTTGGTGGGGACATAGGAGAACGAGAGCCGAGTCCTGACAGTTAAGGGACCATGATTTCAGTCCTTGTTTCCTTTACAAGGCTCCTTTGTCGAGTTCTTGGTACTGAGACATTTTCAGGATGCCCTTTTAATCCCCTGGCCCAGGCCTGTGGGGATGGTGCACAGTCTGTCCTACAGGAGAGAAAAACCATGCAGCAGAACACATGCTGAATTTCTCTTCTTCTCTGGATCAAAAGGCAGACAGCTACTTAACTAGTTGTGTGACAGTAGAAAATCTCTTTTTCTCATCCTTGGTTTCCCCATGTGCAACAAAATAACCACCCTTGGCTTGCCTACCTCACGGGCTGCCATTAGGTTTCTGATGATTTCTGATAGAAATACCCGTGAAATGCTTTGTCAAACGGGTCATTTCCCCGGGCTGTGTGGTCAGGTGCTTGTAGCAGCTGTTGAGCTCTAGGGCAGGAAGATGAGCAGGGAAGCTGGACTCTCAAGGGACTGGCTGGAGACAGATCCCTAGGGCTCCAGTTGTTACTCCTCTCTGGGACACCTGAGAGAGTCAGAGGATGGGTGAAGCGTTCAATGCCAAGAGGTATTTTTCCTTCTCCCTTACACAGGTGCTCTGTATACAATGTACAGAGACTACATCAAGAGAACAGCACAGGACGCCGGGGAGAAGTAGGGCTCCTACAGCCGAGGCACGCAGATCGTCTCACAGTGATCTCTGGTATGCTTCTAATAAAGGAGTTTCTCAGAAAATCAACAATCTCTTCTTCAGCTGGGGGAGAGCAAAGTAAGGGACTGGTAGTGGCTGGTGGGGGACTTAGAGCAAATATTAGGTAATCAAAGAGTTCTAGCCCACAATTCCAAGGCAGGAGAGAATCTCACAGGGCAGAAGTGGACGTGCAGTAGACATCTGGTCCCAGGAACCCAACAATTCCCAAGCCGGCTCAGGCCCACACAGAGAGCATGGTACAGAGGGCAGGACACCAGGAGTGGGAGTAGGTCAGTGAGGAGGCCTCCATGCCCATGGGAACACTGAATCAAGGGGCAAGCATTCCTCTCACCACAGGCTGCTTCCCTGGGGACCCAGGCAGGAAGAAGGCTGCAGCTGGAAGCAGAGGCAGCGAAGCCTCATGGGAGACGACATACATTCAGAACCCAAGTGCTGGGACTAGACTGTACTAGAGGAAAGGGGGCAGGGAGGCGGGGATGAAAGAAGCAGAGCAAGGCAGAGGTCAGAATGTTCTGTTCACTTATAAACCACGTCTAAGGTCAAACTTGTAAAAAAAAATTTTTTCATGTAAATTCTGAGGATAGGACCCCTTGGGGTTAAACACGTTCATCCCCTTCTTCCCTGAGTCCAAGCTCCATTCTGTTCCCTGGGAATGAAGCCAGGCACAGGCTACAGAGGGAACCAGGAGGTCGAATGCGCCTCCCTCACTGGGCTCTGGCTTGGAGGCTCTTGGGTTGTTCGAGATGGCCACAGCAGTTCCCAGACACTCTCTGACAACATGGAGTCCAAGTCACTTGAGGTTTCAGCTTCCAGTCCAGGATACAGCCCACTGCAGGGAGCAAGAGTTGCCAGGAGTCCCGGCACTCACATGGGGTAATTGAGCACAACATCCTGCTTAGCGAGCTCCAGCAACATAGGATCATCGAAGAACTTGCTGATGCTCACGTCCTCACTTAGGCCCTGCAGAGGGTGGGGGCAAATGCAAGAATCAGCTCTGTTTAGTGGGGGCCATTTGACACCTGCACTTGAGTGGGAGGCTGGTGGGGGGGTGGAATGTCTGCCGAGCTGTTTCATGGCCTGCCTTTAGGTTATTGTCACTGGGGAGAAGGCCTCCCTTTCCCAGCTGGACTGGGCCCCAAGTCTGGTTGCCTGAGGCCTGTACGGAGTGCATCTTACTACACTGTATAATAAACTGCTCTTGGTCTTTGGGAGAAGGGTCCAAAAGGAAGGAAAGAAGAGAGATAAAACTCCCACTGAGACCCACTGAAGGCTGAGGGGTGGAGATGGGCCTGAGGGACACACACCTTCCTACGACGGGTTTTGATCATGAATTCCCGGGCCAAGTGAGGAGCTGGCTGTGGCTCCAAGGGGCGGATGACAATGCTCTTATCCAGAGGATCACCAGGAACGATCTGAAAGGCAAAGGCATTTTCGATGGTCCAGGCAGACCCCCAGTACATTTGGACCTGGAAGCAGGACTCTTCGAGGAGGTTGGAAATGAGTCATGACTGAAAGGGGAACATGTCAGAGGGAACTGGCCTTGTATAGGTGGGAGGCCAGGATGGGAGGCCAGGATGGCCAGCCTGTACCATTTTCTCACCTGCCAATGGTGAAACACAGACAAGGAAAAGGCCTGCCCCTGGGTGTGAGTCCGCAGATCAGTCTCAAAGCCAAAAGAATCAATGGCAGGGATGAAAGCTTTGATGGTGTAGAGAGGGGAGCCTGGGATGGGTGCGTCCTGAGTCACGTGCCCCCTGAGACAGAACAACAAAGGCTGAGTTCCTAGTCCTACAGAGGCCAAAAGCAGAGAAACAATCTGCCCCCAAATATATCCCAACCCAGAACTACCATTGGAGAAATAACAACTGTAAATGCACTACGGATGGCAGAAAGGGCTGGAGCTCTCAGTGTAATTCCCGGCAGAGGTCAAAGGGGCAGTGATCTCTGGGCCAGATGAGAACATCGATGGGCAAGGCTTTATAGACATTGCCATCACTGACATACTGCATCACTTTCCTCAGGAACTCTCTGAGGAGGGGGCCCAAGAATCTCAAATTTTAATCTGCAGGAAAGCTGGGGATTTCCTCATTCCTATTCCTATTCCTACTTCCTTCTGAAAAATCAGCTCGTTAGCTTTCAGAAGTGGAGAGGGCAGGGAGGCTGATCCCTCCACGGTAGTGGAGTGACTTCCTGCTCTGCTCTTGTTCTCTGCGCTCTCCCTAATGTGCTTGGGGCTGCTTACCTGCGCCTGGCCAGGACAGTATAAACAGCAGAGACACAATCTGCAGGGGCCTGGACCTCTACAAAGTAGTAAGGTTCCATCAGACGAGGAGTGGCCTACAACAGAGCAACAAGAAAGGGTTCCTCAGCTTGGGGAAGGCTGAGGACCGAAAACCTGGATAAAGGGAAGGCTGAGGGGCTGGGCTTGCCTATGTCCTGGCGCAGCACAGCCCCACTCACCATGAGGAAGGCAGAATAGACGACTCTCCTGGCCGTGGGGATGATTTGGCCGCCGCCCCGGTGCAGGGGCTCCTGGGCAACCACTGCATCTAGGATCTTAAACTTGACGTTTCGAATCACTGAAAAGGAGATGGGGCAGCTGACTGGGTGATTCTGGTGCTAATCAAGGGCCCAGGGGCAGAGCAGCAAGGAGCCTCTTGCAGCCCTGCAGTTATCTTGCAGCCACAAAAAATAAGGTACAAAATTGCCCTACAGATGGGTGTTCTGATAGGGTACCCAAGGCCTGTAGCAAAAAGGTCAGAAGTTAACCCTATGTTCATTGTGTTTGTTTCAGGCCATGCTCAACATCATAAGCTCCCATAGAAGTTTTTGCCTGCCTCTTTTGCAGACATTTAATTATTTTTGGATATAGAATAAGTTCTAGAAATTGCATATTTGTTTCCGTCACGTCCAATTCTGGTCTATAAACCACTCCTATCCTCCTCTTGATACATCTTGGCAAACACATTTCTTCTCAGGAATGAGGAACAACTAACTGTCAATTTAAAAATGACTTCATTTCCAGGGTGTATGAAGTGGTAGTAACAGGATAGGGAGGGAGAAGGGAGGAAGATGGCCCAGGACGTAGGATGGCCCTGTGCCCCAAGCTGCTTCTCCTGCCAGGTCCCAAAGATGATGCCATCATACCTTATACACCCGGATGCGATGACCCTATAGGACTAAGGTGGGGGAGGTGGAGAAACTGGTAGACTTACATTCATCACAGAGGGGTCCCTCCCTGGTTCCCCACTGGAAACCTTGAACGATGCTGTCTTTCACTGAGCCAAGAAGAGCCTTGTCCACCTGCATGAGACATAAGGGCCCTTTAGCAGTGACCCTGGCAATAGCCAAAGCATTTAGTGGGAGGAGAAGGTAGGTACACTAGTGAAAGGATAGTCTTCTTCAACAGAAGACACAAGATACTTTGAGGGAAAAAAAGAACACTTTGTAGTTTCTTCCACTTGAGCTACGACCACCATGTGGCTCCCATCAGTTCTGCTGTACCTCAGAGGGCAGAGTATCATCCACCAGGATGTTGGGGCCAGTGGCATCAGGGCCAAAAGCCCAGATGGAACGAGCAGCCAGCAGATCCCAATCGTATTTGGTCTGGAAGAACTCTCCCAGCTTCTTCCTGGGAGAAGAGACAATGGAGGGCTCAGCCGGCTCTGTGATTGCTGGCTCCTGGGGCCACAAATCCTGCCTTTCTGGAGGGCAGTCACCTCAGCCCACCCACACCGTGCCCAGGATGGTAGAAAAGCAGGAGATAAAATCACTTCTCAGAAGGATGTGTGGTATGAGAAACCTGGCAGGTAAGCTGCGGCGCCCACCTTCCTTCAGCCCTGGAATCAGAGGCATGTTCTCACCTGTTCCATGTGATCTGTACCACCTCGTTCTCGATGTCCTCAGCGAGTCCCTTCTCGAGAGGCTCAGCAATCATGGTGATCTTGTTCCTAGTGAGAAAAGAAAGAAGAAATGAGGCAGGTTAGCAGGACTAGCACACTAAAAAAAGGGTGACAAAGGGATCAGCTAAGGCAGTGACATCGGTGAAAGCCACAGGGGCATAGTAGAGCCAAAAGGGCTTATTTTCTGTCTTCTTTCATTTGAATCTACTGTTCTTTAAAAAAAGTAAGGTTTGGGGCAACATTTTAAAATAGTCATATTATATAGAAAGGAAAAGTGGTAACTGTGAAAGTCAGCCTGAAATAGAAAGTCTTAGGGCAAAGGATTCCATAGTAGCGTGTCCAAAGCCATAATGGGTCACAAGCCGGGGCGAAAACTCAAGTATCCTAAACACCCCCATCCCACGACTTTGAGATCCCTGTTTCCTCAGTGTCTGTGACTGCGGTGGAGTTGGTGGGGAGGGGAGAGTGCCCTGTCAGTCCCAGGGCCGCTGTGATCCCCAGCTTACTTCTTATTGGGTGTTTCAGCAAAGCATTTGAGGGAGGACGTTTCCACCACTGTCTCACAAAAGGTGACAACGGGGTCAGCCACCTGGGAAACAAGATAAATTACTAAGCGAGTTCTAATTTTGTTGGAAGGACAACCTTCTGCCAAAGGGAATTCTCAGGGCCCCTGACACTACCTCTGGGAGGTCCTGTGAGAATTGGCATTAGTGACAAGTAGAACAGTAGGCTAAAAGCCTGTACCCTCACTAAGATACCCGAGACAACTTAGTGTAGTGCAGCATTTATGTTCCGGAGCCCAGAGTACATGGGGATCAAATTCAGGCCTAAATTATAGTCCCCCAAGGTATCTTTTTAACATCCGTTCGGCCGTCCCACCACCACTCACTGAATTAGCTCTTCGGGTGTGTCAGAGCTGGTACTAGAGACTGACGGAGAGTATCTGTTCCCTTCTCAACCCATAATGTTTGGGTAGCACAGTTCCTCCCTGACCTCCCACAAGGCCTGCGCCCAAGAAACTCAGCTTCTTTCTTCTATAGCACCAGTCTGGGCACATCGGCAGAAGAGTCTGGAAGGGTACTTGAAGGGAAAATGTGTGTCTCAACTGGAAAACTGAGGCCATGCAATGGCCAGTTTAATCGAGGGGCTACGTCAGCACTTGACAACGAATCCAGGGGAGCCAGGCTCCACTTGCTTCTTGAAACCATCCACTCTGAGCCTTAATCACCATAGACGGGTTAATTGTGCAACTATATTTTTCAACAAATGACTGAGATTAACTTTGATTTGGAAGCCTTGACTTTATACATACATATATATATATATATATATATCTCACACTGAGAATAACCTTGCAGAAAAGGACAAACCAGATCTCAAATACCTCTCCATTCTGAGGGAGCAACAAATCATGCTTTTCTCAAACAGGATCTCCTCTCCTAGTGCACCCCATTTTCCTGG